TTCGACATTACTCTCTCCTCTTTGGGCTCCAAATCATCTGCAGATGTGGGCAACCGTAACGACTGAGTCCCACATTCAGTAACAACTACAAGTTGTCCATTACTCAAAATAGTCGTGGGGGGTGAAACTATGCAATTCGAAGTAGCGGAACATGTCGCAGTGGTGATAGAGGCGACCGCTGCAGCTTGGGGATTGACAGGAGGGCCAGTAGCCAATTGAAGTCCTGGTTGACCAACAAGAGCGTGCTGACCGAGTACAGTCTGCACGTGAAAGGCGCCAGGTGGACTAGCTAGGCATGTGAGTGGTCCAGGGAGACTAGCGGTTGTAGAATGGCCGGATGATGTAGTCATTTGTCCATTGGGTGGAGTCACAAAGGGTGAGGTCTTGAGCTGAATACCAGAAGTAACTTGGTTGGCCACAAATGGACTGAGAATATGAATGAAAAAGACTCACTTCGTCATAATATTCGTTATTAAATGTAGATAGAATGACGTGGAAAGTATCTCAATCCTACCCAAAATGTTAACGAATAGCATTAGCAGTGACATTGAAATTTTTCAATAAATCGTAAGTGTAAGGTCCTGAATTACTTACAAATGATCTATTCAAAAGCCTAACTTTGTCAATGAATTCCAGAGGTATGTTCCTCAAATGGTTTTCGCAATCTTAGTGACATGGCAAGTAAACATCACTTTCAGGAAACTAGTGAATAAAAGAATGCTTGTTTTCATTCTATTTCGTTTAGAGTGATAGGGGGACTGGTAATTGAATTTTCCCACAATGATATGAGTATACATGACGTTTCCATTGAATCTCACAAAAGCCTTATTTTCCAAAAAGTTATTCTCATTCAGGGTGAAACGCAGTTTTGACCTGGCCTAGGTCTTTTCAATAATCCAAGCGGGACTAGAACCATGGCATTGCAGCGTATGATATCGACACGTTAACCACTACACCACACTGCTATGAGTGCCCTTGGGCCACAGGACAGATGCGAATTTCAAGAAAGGCCAGGCATTCCTATATCACATCGTGGTGGGATTGTAGATGAAGCAAAGGGTGATAGGGGGACTGATAATTGAATTTACCCACAATTGTACGAGTATACATAACGTTTCCATTGAATTTTATAAAAGTCTCGCCTTCCCAAAAGTTATTCTCATCCAGGGCGAAATGCAGTTTCGACCTGGTCTAGGTTTTAACACCATAAGCGAGACTAGAACCACGGCATTGCAGCATACAATCTCGTCACGTTAAACGAAACGCTACATTGCCACGAATGCCCATGGGCAACAGG